TCAAATTTATTCTCAACAAGGTACAAAGAACAATCAGAGTATCTCGAGCTGTTCTCGTTTTGAATATTTTATTACCCACCAAACAATTAAAGGTACTCGTATAACAAATGCCGAGGTCATATCTATTAAACACCTTAGTGTGTATTTTAATGAGAAAGTTGAAATTATACTCGTACAGCTCGGAGCTTAGAATGTCTGAAAATCGCGGTTGATTACGTCTACCAAATTAACTTTACTGATATTATATACTTAAAAGACAAGAGACGGGACGTAATTTATATTATTTGACTTCCTAAAAACGGTTTATTTATTTAATTTAATTTTAGTAATTATTACCCCTGGCGATCAGTTGGAATTGGTGGAAGATTACTTGTTTTTATTAAACGGTATTTGCTTTTTATGGAGATTAAAAGTTGGAAATTGTTTTATTTGACAATCCAAATAGACTTATTTAAGAAATGGGTATCTTATAGTTGACCACTTAACTTTCACTATACGCAGCGTGGGACCTTCAGTACTTGGGCAGGATTGCGTTTACTAAGTATATTAAAATATACTTGTAAGAAAAATTCCAAAAGCATAGAATATTTTAACTACTCTATCAATAAATGTGAAATGTTATTGTGTTTTTTTTTTCAGACAAAAAGAAGATCGTTATTGATTTAAAAATTATTATATAAATATATATATTATTGGATGTTACATATTTTTTTACAAAAAACTGTCTCCTCTGTTGCAGTTGTTGATATTATCAACCCATTCCGCTGCACGCTTTTAAAAGAATTGTATATAAAAACAATTTTACACATTACTGACCCACAAACTGCTTGCGGATTTTATTATTTTTTTGGAACCTCTAGTCTTAATTTGCTTCTCTCTCTTCATATTTTGAAGCCTGAATATTAAGTTGGGCACTACTCGAATGCAAACACTCAGCTACAATGCGAGTAACCGGTTTGGCAGTATTTTTTTGAGGAATAAGGTGACAAAGGCAAAGTGAGAACTCTTTGTGAAGAAAAGAAAAGAGAAACGATGTGTTTTTTTTTGGTTCAGATAAACAAGTTGCAGCTTGGCTTCACATATACACTCAAAATAAAACTCGTTAATTTGTGGGAGTTATGTCGACCTCGGGGTTAGGGGGAAAGTCTTAATGGAAATGTGAATAAACAAGTTCAAAATAAAAAGAAAGCTGGAGCTTTGCAGGTTAAAAAATAGAGAAGTGCTTACCGTCTGCAACTAAAATAGGCAATGCATATATACAAGTTTATTGGGTATTAGTAGAGTCTCAAGAGAAGAACTACATCAGAAGTAATTCATTCTGCGTAGAGGTAGTAGAGGAAAAGCTGGTCAATAAAGCTTACATAACCACTGCAATGAGTGGTTTACTACTAGATACTAAGATAAATTTATTTATTTAGCAAAATTTTGTTTATTAAGACTAGCTATAGTCTAACTAGTAATATTATATATATATATGTATATAAGTATGTATAGCTACGATCTGATCTCTGAAAAATGTTCTGCTTCTACGAGATATTATGGTTTTTACCCAGGTAACCAGCGGCAAAACCTCAGGGCCATTCGTATATTAATTTTATTTTGTATTTCATGCTTTGTGTTTTCTCTTTCTATTCTGTTTTTAAATTCGCTTTCATTTCTGCGTTTATACTTTGCATATAAATAATATACGAGTACATTTATACAAGTGTACGTTTGTCTATAATGTATTATATTCAGCGTTGTTTTCATTTGACTTAATTACTCCTAATAAGTACAACCCATACGATGAATATGAAAGCCAGTTAAAGGCCCACAGACACATTTACTTGCATATTTATATGTGTACCTAAGTATAACAAATATGACTAATGCGAATCGTATCTTTACAAAAGAAAAAGCTTTCTTGCACAATTATTACCACAACTATGAATCCGCGTTGCTTAGGTAAATCAACAGAAATTCGAACAATCGAAAAGTGAAAGATTTGCAAAGTACATAAATTACGAAAACTAGACATTTATGCAACAGCCACCTAAAGCACCAGAGCTTAATATCAAGCTATTATAATATAGTGAGAGGTAAATACGTATAAACTTTTTTAATATCTTGTTGAGTTAATTTTCTTTAAAATCCAGTAAAATACACTTAACCCTTTAACATATTTGGCAAACCATTTACGTAGTGATTACATTGTAATTGGCAATTTTATGTGAAATTTGAATTTATCGAATTGAATCTACAGCTGCAATCTTTTACAATTTCTTAAAAAAGTGAAAGTAATCAATCATAACTTTTTGTAACAATTATATTTTAAACAGATTGTGTTGGATTTCGTAGCAGTAGCCACCTTGAATTAGGATCATTTTTATAACGAAATTCACATATTTGTATAACATTTACCATAAATAAACTGAGTCTATAACACATATTAGCTTTCCGTCAAAACGTTGTTACTTTACATGGACTAGATTTAAGGTTCTGCTAAAAGGCGAAAATCGTAGACGATAATATTTTCTAAACTTCAGATAAGTTCCAAAGGTAAGAAATACGTTTGAATGTATCTGGCGGACCTCACCGATCACAGTTTAAAAATTATATGGATGAGAATATGTTAAGAAATTTACCTTTTTGTTTTACATCATCAACATCTTGAATCTATGTCACACCAAACAAAATCCTAATTTTATGGCAAAGAAAAAATAGAATAGAATAGTTATGGCAATTTGAAAGTTGTCGTTTAATGGCGTTTTGTAGGCGTGGCAATGGTCCGATTGCGTCTATTTACAATATCAACCATCCTTGGGTGCCCAGAAATACGGGTACTCAGTTTCATCAAGATATCTCAATTTGTACTCAAGCTATGGCTTGCACGGACAGACGGACTGGCAGCATTACTCAAATTTTCAACAGATATCGTAAAATGAGCATAAGGAAATGAAAAACAATGACGTCTATTTAAAATAGTTATGTTTAGTAGAATTGAATTGATTTGTACATTCGTCGTGAAATTACTAAATTTCTGCACGTTAGCTGAGATTTTCAAGTTGATTAATTTCAAAGAATCTTAAAATTTATTTACTGACTAACAATTTATAAAAATGCCGCATTAAAGCACAATTATTCCAAATCTATTCTTAAAAAAATATTTCACAACAAAAAAGTGTGAAAGTAAATATTACTTAAAAATTCGTAAAGTGAGTAAAGAGCAAAGATTTTTTTGAAGATCAATTTCGATGAATTATACAGTTATAAATATTCGTAAATAAACAAAAATAAAGTTCACATGGTTTCTTTAAAGATATTCAATGAAGTCAAACTCTAAATTTCGCAAATGTAGGGGTTTATATGTAGTATTCAATATTCTCCGCGAAGTTCAATTTGGTATTCTGTTGTTGAATAGCAGCTGTACCCATGCAATTATAAATGCATAATAGATGGATGTAATTTCCTTCAAGTCGTCTTTTAACTAAAAAATTTTATATAATCTTCTTTCATGGCAAACATGCACTGGGATTATCTTATTTTCTTAACTTAATTACTTTCTCAGTTAGTATACTAGACGGTCGAGTATCAATAAACTTATTATATGGGATTTCGATCAAAAGCTTAGTTACCGAAAATTTTTTATTCTAAATTATTTTTAAAATAATAAAATTGTGTCATATACTTGTTTAAAGATATATGTATGTATGCGTGAAAGTATTAAAGTATTGACTGAACCTATTGTGCATTGAGCGATTAAAACAATACATAAGTATATGTATACAAATTTGGCGATGTACATACATATGTATCCAACTTGCAAGGGAAATTACTTCAGGTGTTGGAAAAATTTTATATTAAAGGAAGTATTGATCCGATACAACCCATTTTTGACCCAAAGATATACTATTATCGAGAGTTTCATTTATTTATTTTATTATGTGAATTTCAATTATATATTTTACACATTAAAAAGCTATATTAACGAAATTCACTGAAAACAAATGCTTTAAGCACTTCTATCGACATTGTGAAAATAGATGAAATCGGGAGGCAGGTCCGTTCACTCACCATATAACAGTGCTGTTAAAAACTACTAAAAGCGCGATAAATCAATCACTAAATACGCCAGAAACTTTAAATTTTATCTCTGGGCTGGTATGAGATGACTTTATAGGAAGCATGTTCAAAAGTCGACAGTGGGCGTGGCACCGCCCACTTTTATGTGAAAACCCGTTGGGATCTGCTTAACCGATTTCAACCAAAAACGGTACATAACATTCTTCTCATATTCTATTTGCGAAACTACACAAGCCCAAGTATGTTTTAAGCTGGGTATTGAACAGATCGGCCAATTTGCCAACAACAGGAAATCGCTACACACTTATTGTACATATGTATTTTCAGATAAGATTTTATTTATTTAACAATGCGGTTGGCAAAGTCTTGATGTAGCTCCGGTTATATCTTACCAAATACACAATGAGTCTTTTTATATATTTTGCCACAGAGAAAGTGAAAGTGTGTGCTGATGTGGTTAAGAGGGCAAGCAACCACCGCAACCATTATCGGCGCATGAGCACGGCCTCATATGACCTTTTCCCACTTATCACACACACTCATATTTCCACAGGGGTCACGGAAACAATAAGTACATGTTTATATGTATAAACTGTTACTGTTTGGCATATAAACTCACCTAAAATTTATCGAAATCGGTAATTATATACATATATGGATATTTTTATACACTATAAGTATATCCGATACATGTACATCAGTATGTGAAAATCTTAATAAAGATAAGTGGACGGACAAAGTGAAACCAAATTTTATAATATTGGCCCAAAATAATAATCGTCGTCCTTTCGGCGGACTTTGCAACGTACAAACATATTTTGAAATTTTGTATAATTACGTTAAAGTACTAAGAACTTGAACCTTGATAAGGTAAAAATACACTATCCTTATTTGATATACAAAGATATGTATGTAAAAGTATATGTACATATACTAACCTTCTTATGATCGGAAGCGGTAGAGTGAACCGTCCATCGCTGACCATAGGCGGAGAACTACCTGGCATAGGAACCGTTGATATCACAGGCGGTAGAAGAGTTGTGCCTGGTGGTGGTGGCACAGGTCCTACTATTGTGGGAGGTGGAAGAGGTGTCGTCGCACAACGATTCAACGGTAGCGCACTATAAGGTGGTGGAAAATGTCTATGCAATAAATTCGGCAACATTGGACGTAATAGTGCAGACATTGCCGCTGGCATTCTTGTTGACGATGAACCTAATGTATGATGAACACCATACTGTAAGTGCGAAGTCGTAATACCCGGAATGGGTGCAGAGCCTGGAGGTATAGAATGTCGATCTTGTGGACGGCGCTGGTGTCCCGATATGTGAAATTGGTGCGGATGCGGTTGCGGATAAGAGGTGGACAATTGCTGATTTAGATGGCGACGTACACGTCTGTCGCGCCGTCTTTGTACGCGAGACAAAATCGGCGAGACGGGAACCCGATCAAGTCGCATTTGCATGGATATTATTTCATCAGTCTGGCATTCGGTTGAGGTAAAAGATCGCGATTGTTCCGAAGCGTTGGGCGACATACACGTAGTTTGTCGGGAGACACCACTAACCTGAGATGGTAATAGGATTGGTGATCCGGATATGGCCAGAGGAATAGGCATGCTTTTGTTTGAATGCTGGCCATTCGTTTGTTCACTCTGAGATTGAGCACTTATGCTAATTATATTGATGCTGTCGGAAGCATTTACTATTTTCATTTCGTTGCCATAACAATCTCTTTGGCCGGAACTAATACTCAAAATATTATTATTATCCACCCTATTCTCTACTTTGCAGATTATATTAGGTAATCCACTCACTTCACTAACACTGCACACTTTATTGAGTGAAGTTGCACTCTTTTCACAGGCACTCTCGTTGTTAACTGGGTAAACACTGTAATAATTACAATTGACCACACTAATGCGATTGTCTTTGACAGGACTTTTCTGTAGTACACCAACCATAACATTTACGGACGCAGTGTCTACGTTGACGATGTTATTATTTATACAGTTATTAGTTGAACTATGAATATGTGTATAGTTTTTGTTAGTTGCGCAATTGCTGTTGTTGTTTTTATCACTGCTTTCTGAATTCACTTGTATTGTCAAGCTCGGCTGAGTGCTAACAGCCGATTTGTCCAGCTCTGTGATTCTTACGCTATTATTGTTCCTTTTATCATTTTCAATCGCACCAACAATAACGACATCATTTTGAATTTCTTCATTTTCCACACTATCGAAGCAATTACTGCTATTATTAACATGCTTCGTTTCATGCAATAGATTGCTGTACCGATCGTCACTGCTAAAGCTACTACTTCTCGGACGGTCATCACTGGTCAGACAACCTGTGGTAGCACATTCGGAGCTGCTTAGAAAAATGCTACTCGTGTTGCTGGTGGGCAATACTTTGAAAATATTTGCTTGCTGCACTTGCAACTCCGATGTGGAAGAGCAAAACAACGCGTTCGTCGCCGCGGGTATGCTGAATCGCATGTTGTTCGGCGTGTCAACGATATCAGCGGTCGCAATGGTATTGACGTTCAAAAGTTCACAATCATGTCCGTTATTTAAATCACTGCCTTCACTACTTGCATCACTTTGACTGCGGCTGAGGCAATGTTGCGAACTTTGAACACTTTTACAACCTTCACCAGCATCCGTATGTCTGGCTGCTAGCGCACTTTCACTCGCTCGAAATTCAGCATACAAACGCTCAAGCTCTGCTAGACATTTATTCGGTGTAAGTGCATCTAACGGTGATATATTCCCGGAACTTGACCGTGTCACCCGTTTAACTTTTGTTCGTACACCCCTTAGTGTTTTTTTCCATAAAAGTGAATATGAAGGCAAACGCGAACGACGCGCAATTAAACGTCTGTAAGAAGAGCCCAACGCAAACTGAGTGATCGCTTGGCCATCAGGCACCGGTGGAATAGCATGGAATTCGTTGTGGTCGCTTTTCAAATGAGCGCAGTTCACTCTCTCAGCTGTTGTAGCTTTGTCGTTCCAAGACGCAGCAAATAAGTTGGCACTTCCATTAGCTCTATCAGCGTTCATTCGTCTTTCATTGTTTGTGCAACCATCATCCATCGATTCTGTGTTGAGTCGGATATCATAATTATTGCTATTGCTGTTCTGATTGTTTACGATAGCAGTGCGTAAACGTGAGTCTGGGAGAGAGTTTTTAATACTATATGTATAGAAAACAGGTTGATTGACCTCCTCTCCCTTGTGGGATATTGTTTTTACTCTTTCCATTTCTTTTGTGGACTTATCCGTATTATCTTCGAATCTTGTAGCTATTGCCTGAGTCATTGCAATTAATTGGGAACTGTTAGGGAGTCGTTCTCCCAATATGTCATCATCATTCTCTTTTTTATTATTATTGTTAATTGTATTGTACTCTTCGGTTTGTTTAGATCGGTTACTCGCTGACCGCGTTTTTCGAAAATACATGATTTCTTCCGCTCGTTGCTCGTTATCGTTGTCGTGTGATGAAAAAACGATATTATCACTATTATTTGCCAATTGCTCGGGCGATTCATTGCCAGCATTTGCAGCCGTTGGAGGTAGCAATCTTCCAAGTCCTAAGTCAAGTTGACTCGATAGATGAACGGGACACTAAAGTAAAAAAATATAAATGATGGTATTAACTAATAACAAATAAAGGAAAATTTTTAACTGGTTCTCAAACCCCTATAGGTGCATTTAGACACATATAAAACTATTTTTATTGAAAGACCTGTAGTATACATGTATATTTTCGTGCACTTATAAGTGAATGTATTTATTATTACTTATATAAGTATATGCATAAGTTTGTAGGTACGTATATATGTAACTATATATTTATATATATGGTATATGCCATTTACTTGTTCACCGTCGTAAATGATGATTGAGTAAATCGTTAATACTTTTATAGGCAAAGAAAAAATTTCACTTATGAAACCACTACGGTGAGAGATGATAACCATTTATGGCCAATTCAGAGAGAACTTTCGCATCGCTTTGCGTCAGACATTTGATTCGAGTTCGATGTACGCTTTTGTATGAGTACGTTTACATAAAAAGTTTGCGATGCGAAGCCAAGCACAATGTTGGGCAACTCTTTTTTTTTTACGCTTTGCCAAGCAACGGTCACGATTTTTATTAGAGAGAAACACTGAGAGCAAACCGTTTATTGTGTTATACCCTTTGTTATTTCAGTATGAACTGTCACGTAAAACAAGGAAAATTGTATGTGAATGGGCCTTTAGTTCAGATGATTTCAATCAGTAATCGGCAGTCCATAGTTCGTGGGCACTTTCTGAGAGAGCTTTGAGTATTCGTGTGTTTCACACAGACTTGCTACAGTTATTATCAAGGATAAAGGGATGCCCAACTTATTTCAGTGTAAAGCGCCTTAAAATTAGCGATTTTTTTTATAACTTTTTGCATTGTAGCCAGATCAGTCAATATAAAAATTGTTGGGCATTTAAATTAAAGTATCCAACATTTATTGAGATTCATAATTATTATTTATATCCGTTTAATACATAGAGAAACCATTTAAATCCTTTTTTGTGATTTTTGATGTATTAAAACAACTGATTTTTGAATATTCAATACTTAATCAAATCAATTAATGAATGCTTTTTATAATTTTCCATTGAAAATTAATACCACTAAGCATGACATCACAAAAATTTCATTGCATACATTTCAATTTCGCGTTTTCTGTAATATTCATTGTTTTTTAATTTTTGTTAGTGATCTTCAACAAGGGCATCAAATCTCTCTGTTCACATATTTTTTTGGTAGAATTTCAATCTGGCCGTTCCTCCTTTTTCAATTGCTAAACATCAGACCTCCTGAACTTTGACAGTTGCGTGAGTTCAGGAGGTTTTTCAATTAAAAAAAACCTTCATTAATTGAGAGCATATTATACATTTATTATTTTGATTAAGTATTGAATATTCAAAAATCAGTGGTTTAAATAAATCACAAAATCAGAAAAAAGGAATTATATAGTTTCTCCATGTGTTAAACGGATGTACAAGTATATAATAATTTTTAATCGCTACATTTAATAAATGGTGGGCGTTTTAATTTAAATGCCCAAAAATTATTATTTTGTCCGATCTGTCTACAAAGGAGAATGTTATAAAAAACGCTAGTTTTTTTTATCCCTGGTTGTACATCTCTTTATATCTGCTACGCATCGAGCAAGATGTGCGCGGAAAGTGCACGTCTATTCCCCATATTCCCCATATTACACTATTTTAAATTCCATCTGATTCTTTCACTTTCCACTATACAAATCAAGCAACAATGATTGTATCGGGGTAAAACTTTGCGTGAATAATGAGTTTAAAGTATGCCACCTTGTAACTAAAAATTGTCTTAATCGAACCAAAACTGTTCAAGCAACTAGGTACTGAATATGTGGACCCCAGTACCTATAGTAGACTTTTTACCAAAAATATCGGTCAATGTGTATGATATATAATTGAAATTCATATAATATAATAAATAAATGAAACTCTCGATAATAATATGTCTTCGTGCGAAAAATGGGTTGAATCTGATCAATACTTCCATTAATATACAATTTGGCAACACCTGACGTAGTTTCCCTTGCAAGTTGGAGAGTATAAAATGTTGGGTTACACCCGAACTTAAAACTACCTTACTTGTTTTCACTTAGTTATGGAAATTTATTTGTTTTTGATTAATGGCGTTTTGTGGGCGTGGCAGTGGTCCGATTATGCCCATCTGCAATACTAACCGTCTTACGGTACCAAAAAGCATGTGTACTAAGTTTCATAAAGGTATCTCAATTTTTACTCAAGTTACCAGATGGACAGACAGTCACCCGGATTTCAACTCGTGTCTTCATTCTGATTATTTATATGAATATAACTCTATATCTAACTCGATTAGTTTTAGGTGATACAAACAACCGTTATGTGAACAAAACTCGTATACTCTTTAGCAACACGTTGCAAGAATATAATAAAAGTGGGCATCGTCACGGCCCCTAATAGGTTTAATGGGCATATCACCTAAACCGCTTAAACTTCAATAACAAAATTCACTGAGAACAAATGTTTTTAGCACCTCTATCAACAGTGTGAAAATGGAATCGGGTGGCAACCCCGTCCACTCCCCGTATAACGGTACGGTTAAAAACTACTTAAAGCGCCATGAATCAAGCACTAAACACGCCATATATAACATTCTTCTCATAATTCTATGTTATAGTGCAAAAAATCGGAATACAACCACACCTATTTCCCATATAACACCATTTTAAATATCATCTAACTCTTTCACTTTCCACTATGCAAATCAAGTAGCAATGATTGTATCGGGGTAAAATTTTGCGTGAATAATGCGTTTAAAGTATGACACCTTGTGACCAAAAATCGTCTAAATCGAACCAAAACTGTTCAAGCCCCTAAGTACTAAATATGTGGACCCCAGTGCCTATAGTTGACCTTCTACCGAAAATATCAGTCAATCCACAAAGAAATCTCAAACGAGTATACCATTTGACTTTGCGAGAGTATAAAATGTTCGGTTACATCCGAACTTAGCCCTTCCTTACTTGTTTCAATTGCTAAACGTCAGACCTCCTGAATTTTGACAGTTTGGAGGTTCGATAATTTCAAGAAATTATGACATTGAATGGCCTCCAAGAAGTTATGATTTAACACCATGAGACTTATTCTTGTGGTTATTTGAAGTCATTGATCTTTAGCTATTAACCAGACCCTTTTCAAGCTTTAGAAGTCAATATTGAACGTGCTATTCATGACATACGACTTGATTTAGTGGAAAAAGTACTCGCAATTTTTTTTTTTTATCCTTAACAATTAGTGAGTGTTTTTTTTAAATCATATCACTCTTATTGGAAAATCCTTTATTTATAGAATTTTCCCCGTTTACGACCTTGCGATGTGAAAACTACAAATTAGTACTTAAAAATATATGATTTAACATTTGCGCCTTCTTTATTCATTAACATTCTTTGGTTTCACTGTTCTGTGTTGCCGACTTGTATGACCAATTCACATAGAACTTTTGCTTCGCTTTACGTCAAGTAAAATGTTGAGCAACTCTCATCTTTTTACGCTTTGCGAAGCAACCATCTCCATTTTTACAAGATAGAAACACTGAAAGCAAAGCGTTCATTTTGACATACCTTCTGTTTTCTGCGCTTCGTTGTTTTAGAATGAACTGTCACGTAAAGCGAGAAAAGTTGTATGTGAATGGGCCTTTAGAATCCGCCAATTAAAATAGGCAATTTGACGCAGTTAGCTTCAAAAATGCAGTTTTCAAAAAATACAGAGAGAATAAAAATAAGTACATATACACTGGTTGCTAAAACTAAAGAACTTAAATTATATAGAGGAAGTATTTTGTTTTATTTTATTTTCATATAAATGAGTGGATAATAAAAAATGTGGTATCTTAATAAATTATACTAAAGTCAAAAGTCAATACTTACATATAATGAGTGGATAATAAAATATGTGGTATCTTATTAAATTATACTATTGTCAAAAGTCAATATATCTAAGACAAATCACTATATACTTCATACTCGCGCTGAGAGAAGATATGCAGCGCGTTCCAAAAAATTTTTTTTTTTTATTAACATACATATGTTCAATTGCAATCACTGACTCGTATAATTAGGTCAGTTTTTTTCGAGCTTTTTTTCTTTGTGGTAATATATCTCTTAATACTATACAGCTAGCATCAAACGCAGCAGTACTGTAATCAAACATCTAAGTTCACACACATTTCAAAAACATCAACCGTGATTGGCGATCCATGATTGGATTCTGCAAGAAGAGAATGATCCGAAACATGGGAGCAGATTCTGTCCTCAATGAAAACAAGAAAATCATATTGTTCAGATTGACCATCACAGTCACCAGTACAATAGAGAATGTTTGGGCTTTAACGAAAGCCAATATCAAGCAAACATTTTTTTTTTTTTTCAATAATAACCCAACGATTACCCTCCTCCCGCCCAACCGACGCGAGGGGCGCAATCCGCATACGTGCGGAATTAGCCGAGTCAGAAAAGGCAAGACAGTTTTTTAAGTGTTGAGATCTAAAACTGCTCAGCTACAGAAACAAAAATTTCAACAGCTAAGATTTATAGTTACAATATAATAAATTGTTACATTTTCATTCATTAAGAGAAAACAATAAAGTCTTTTTAATTTTGAAAAGTGAGTCAGATAAGTCAAATGTGCTGGAATGAGAATTAAAACCATGACATTTACGGCGAAATGGCTCGTTTAGTTCAAAATTTGATCAACAAGATTTTAACAGCAAAGGTCTAAACAGCCTCGAAACGCGAATCGGGATATTAAATTTAATTTCAGACAGGAGAAAAGAACTGCAAACTGTTCCATTCAAGATTTTCACTAAGAATATTATGCCAAGCATTTCCCTACGACTAGAAAGTGTAGGTAGATTAATATGTTTTAAACGACTAGTGTATGGAGGTAGACTTACCCTAGAATCCCATCGGAAATGCGCTAAGGCGAAAAGTAAAAATTGTTTTTGAACAGACTCTAACCAGAGAACTTAAAACAATTGTTCTAAGTTCTCTGCTC